TGGTCAACAGGTAGCCGAAAATGGTTTTGGAAGCAGCCCCTCGCTCAACGTCGACCCAGCGATCCGCCTGCCTGTTGCCCGTGTTGCCTAATTGAGCAGCCAGCAAACAACTGAGCAACGGAGCAACTGAGCAACACTGTGACAACTGTGGACTGTGGATTGTGGAGTGTGTGAGAGCAAGCCAAAGATTAGCTACGTTTAGCGGTGCCTTAGAACTTGGCTTGGGCGAGTGCCGCTTGAATTGCCAAATTAATTGCGCGTTAATCGCTAACAATCGATAAGTCGATAGGCTGCTAAATCGATTAAGTCTTACTGACATATCAATACGCATTGTTTATCGATTGAAGATCTATATGTGGTTTATCAAGACACTTAGTAATCGATAACAATCGATATGTCGATTAATTAATTAATATGCAGAACAGTCACCAATCGACGTGTTGATTAATCAGGCAGCAGAAGCAAGTGATTTAGCCAAGTGAAAGCAGATTTTCAACACATCGATAAATATCGATAACACAACAAAGTTGTGCAGTGACTGTAACCACTTGTAGCTATAAAATAGTTACTAGACTAAAGCGCAATTCAATTATCTAGCTCACTAAATTAGCAGTTATCGATAAATCGTTATCGGCTTTTCTCGCTTCTCCGTAATGGCGTAGCACAATTAGAGGCCGAACAAGTGTAAATGCGAAACCGAACCATAATCAGAAATCAAGTTAGCAGCAACAATGTCTCGGCGAGCAATTAGCACAGAGCTCGAACACGCTCGTCAGTTAATCGATATATCGATAAACAGACTATATTAGTGCCTAGAGCGATTTACATGCCTGCACGACATTTTAGATTTTCGCAGCTACTCAAATAGCAGAACATTGCAACTAGTTGCTATAATTTGAGGCAGTTGTTGCTGTTGCTGTTGCTGTGGTTGTTGTGGTTGCTGTTGTTGCTGTGGCTGGCATTCAGTCACGATCAAGTGGAGATATCGCTGTGGTAGTTGATGCAACTGTCGATAACCGTTAGCGATCGTCCGTTTTATTGCTGCTGCTGGTTGCATGTGAACAAAACATGCCAAATCAAAGTGTGAGTGATCATTCAATTAAGCAGCACGCCAACCGACAGCGACAACACTACCAGACGGACGACAGCAACATGAACAGCAACAGCAACAACAATGCCTACGACAGCAATCGCAAAGCAACAGCAACTGCAACTGCGGTGCCATCATCAGTTAAATTATGTGATAATATGCCAACAATGAGTGTGCAACAGCAACAGCGACAGCAATCGCAACAACAGCAACTACAACTACAACTACAACAGCAACAGCAACAGCAACAGCAAAAGCAGCAATCAACACGCAAAAGCCCAAAACAAACGTGTCACAGCCAGCACAGGGCAGGCAGGAGGTGGGCAATTGAGCAGCGTGAAAGATGCGGCCCCAACGGCAACAGCACGTAGAGGCCCCGCAGCAGCAGCAGCAGCAGCAGCAACAACACCAAAATTGCTGCTGCCTTTTTTGGTTGTTGCTGCCGGCGCGGCTCAATCAGTTTGTCACCCGGGCGATATATAGAGTGATTAAGTGGCCCATGGATTGGATTGGATTGGTGTTGACCAACTGCTGCAGCAGCAGCAGCAGCAGCATAGAGACGTGCCGCAATGCAACAGCAACAGTTGCTGAATTTTGCATTAGTTGCTCGCCTGCAAGGCTATATAACAAAAAAAGTAGACAATATTTGACGCATAATTGCATTAGAGCTGCTTGCCAATCAATTCAATCAGCGAATGAAATCACAAACAGCAACAGCAACAGCAACTAGAGCTGTCTGTCTCTTGTCTGGCAACAACAGCAACTGTTGCTGATTTGTTGCTTGTTGTGTGACGGCGACGACGACGACTGCGTGGCGTCCGTGTAATCGCACTTCATGTCTAATTAGACTTGTTTATGCCCATTTGAAAAAACTGAAATGCAGCGGCAACAACAACAGCAACAGCCGCAGCAACAGCAACCACATTGCTGTGCTGCATGCACATATTATATTATTTTTTATGGCTATCTTCACGGTTATTTTCATTTAAATCGCAATTCAAACTCGACTTGTCGTCGAATGACATTTTAAATGACAATTTTGCGCCTTTTGCAATTCATTTTTTTCTCTTGTGTACCAGAGAGAGAGAGCAGGAGAGTGAGAGAGAGAATCAAATTGAATGTAATAATGCAAATTGTTTTTATCAATAAATTCTAGACGCACAACGAGTAATTCAGATGATGTTGTTGGTGCAGCCAAATGAATTTATGCGTTAATAAATTTAAAGCAAATTAGCAAAACGACTTCAACGACGTCGACGATGAACAAACGACGATTTATGGACTAAGCAGCGATTGCGACTCATTCAGCAGAGCTCAGCGCGGCTCGGGCCGGTTAAGCTGCGCTCAGCGGCTCGGCAATTTGATTGATGAGGCTTGCCAATAAACTGTGTTTGCCTTTTAAAGCCAGCCCAAATCGGCTCGAGTCGGCAGCAATTGCGTTTTCAATTGCCGTGTGCAGTCCGCCAGCCAACTGCAGCGAGTGTTGCGGGCTCCAAAATGGCGACGCCGGCAATTAATCAGTTTTTCAGCCTTCGGCCTTTTTGGCCAGGCGGGCAATAAAACGCACACAGAGGCAAGCACTTGCCTAGCGCATGAATTAATGGCAGCGCGTTTAGCGCTTAGTCGTTATACTATTCACATTAATTAACGTGACACGTCAACGAGTAGACCACTCAAATTGACGAGTCGTGCCCAATTGTTGCTGCTGCGTGTGAAAATATTTTAATTTACGTTTGCGACTTTTTGGTTTTCTTGACTTGCCTTACTCGTTGCCCCATCCAAGCTGCGAGTCCACTCTTTGCTGCTCTACTTATTGCATCTGCACTCCTTACGCAGCCTTACTCGTCAGCCTCTCCATTTACTAGCCTTCTCTACTTCTTGCATTAGATGTTGCTGCTGCCGTTGCTCTACTTGTTATAACTCTACTCGTTGTACCTCTACTCGTTATAGCTTTAATCATTGTACCTTTGCTCGTTATAGCTTTACTCGTTCTGTCTTTACTCGCTGTGGCTCTAGTCAACTCCGCGCGTTGCATCTGGAGTCACTGTATCTCTACTCGCTATAGAATTACTCGCTGCTTATCTACTCGTTGCAGTTCATATCTTCTCTACTCTTTTACAGGCTTTTCTTTATGAATGTTCACTTGTTATAGCTGTACTAGTCACAGCTGTACCCATTGTATCTCTACTCGCTATAGCTTTACTCGTTGTTTCGCTACTCGTTACAGCTCATCTCTACTACACTCGTTGTAGCTTTGTCTTACGAATGTTCACTCGTTAGTACTAGTCATAGCTATGCCCATTGCATCTCTACTCGCTACAGCTTTACTCGTTGTATCTCTACTCGTTGCAGCTTATGTCTACTCTACTCGTTAAAGGCTTTACTTTATGAATGCTAACTCATTATAGCTGCACCCATTGTACCTCTACTCGTTATATCTGTACTCGCTATATCTGTACTCGTTATATCTGTACTCGTTATATCTGTACTCGTTGTAGCTCAACTCATTACAGTTCTATGCGCTGTTTATCTATCCACAATTGATTTACCCGCTCATATTATTCATTGTATCTAAAGTCTGTATCTGCCTCGGTTGAACTTTTCAGTCTTTGTTGTGTTACGCCTTATAATTAACTTGTGGCAGTGCAGCTATGGCCAGTCCCTGCTCGCACTCGCTGCTCTCTGCATATAGCAGCTTGGCTTCACATACTTGTCTTGCTTCACTCGCAGCACACCTTCCACGCCTTCCAGCAACTGCTTATGCGATTTGAGTTGCTTGTTCTTCTTTTCGCTCTACACTTTGACTCGATCTGTTTCGTTTAGTCTGGACTGCGCTTTGTCGCATTATTTAGTTGTATTCAGCACTTCTGAAGCGTTAACACGGCCAGCTCAAGCGTTCGCTGCTATACATACAATTATAAAGCTGACAACATGAGCAACAACCACAAGCATCTTATTAGTCACACCTTTGTGTGCATGACACCGCAGTCGCCATTGGTGGTCTTAGCCAGAGAGAGAGAGAGAGAGGGCGTGTAAATCAAGCGCAGATACAAGATACACACAATGCAGCCAACCAGTTGTTGCTGATGGCGACAGCAGCAACAGCAGCAACACTGTAGGCAACTAGAGCTATAGCCTAAAGTCTAAGTCTGAGTCAAAGTCGCAGCTTGTTTTTTTTTTCATTTAAAATTACACGAACAAAATGGCGTTGCCAGACTCGGCAGCAGCAACGGCAACGGCAGCGGCAGCTTGTGAGGTCCACACGCAGCAGCAGCAAGAACCGAAAACAAGCTAAAGACCACAGACAGACTGCGGCTGGCCGGATCGGGCCTGGTCTATGGAGCCTGGCCGCCTAGACACGCTCATGCGGTCGTTCGCTCGCCCGCTCGTTGCTGTTGTCGTTTTAATCGAAGTCGATTCGACGAGTTATGGTAATTAAAAAGGTGTTCCTTTTGCAACAGTCGCGCATGTCGTTGCTTGGGGGGTCTCGCGGTTTCGCCTCTGCTCTGCTCGCTGCAGACAAATTCATATTTTATGACAAAACTTCTGCCCCAGGCCCCCTCTCTCTGCCCCGTGCTCGCTGGTCTCTGGCGGCACTCGTGCACTTTGGTGGGTGGTCGCCTACAGGAATGTCGCCGACTTGCCACAGTCCACAGCCATTTGCAATATCTTTGCTACAGCTCAACTCCAAGACGTGTGTGTTGTGTGTGCTGTGTGTGTGCCTCTGTTTGAGCCTGTCAAGTTTTGTCAAGTTACTGCCGCCAAAACGGAATACTTTGTGCCGTGCTTTTCTTTTTTGTTTTTTGTTTTTTTTTTTCTCCCATTGCATTTTGCATGCCAAGCTAACTAATCTTATGCTCTCTTTCTCTTTTGCTCTTCCACCGTGTGTGGCCATCTCTTTCTGTTGTAGACCATACTGAACTCAATGCATAAATATCAGCCGCGCTTTCATTTGGTGCGAGCCAACGATATCTTGAAGCTACCATATTCCACGTTTCGCACGTACGTGTTCAAGGAGACGGAGTTCATAGCCGTGACTGCATATCAAAATGAGAAGGTAAACTATAAATATATATATGCATATATACATGGACGATAATCCAGCCATTTGACATTAAACTAAAACATATTCGTCTTGACACTTGCAGATAACTCAGCTGAAAATTGACAACAATCCCTTTGCGAAGGGCTTTCGTGATACTGGCGCTGGCAAGCGGGAAAAGAAGTGAGTATCACTAGTGTTAAGCAGTCGAGAGACTATAGATATTATGGATGAGATCTGGCCTAGAACTAGAAGTAGTCAAAGTACCCTCAGAGCAGCAACTTCAAGCTAGACTTGTGTCCGAAGCTAGAGCTAGAGCTAGTCTAACTGAGTTTGTCCTTAGTTAAAGCTATTAAAAGTCTTATTAGAGCCATTGCGTTTCAGCTGTGAGCCTAGCTAGGTTGGGTTAGGCAAGTTCAAAGAACCTCCTTAGGCAGGCTGAGAGACCCAGCTAGGATAATAAGTATAAATGGCCAAGGGGTTCTATGTGCATATTCCTTAGATACACATAATATTTAAGCTCCTGGGACGCCTCTTATTATTTGTCCAGGCAAATGGCAAGTTGCTGCTCTATTGGCAAGCCTGGCTAAGTCAGCTAGTCCCTGGACCTGTCACGAAATGCAATTGAGGCACTCGAAATCGCATTAGAGTGATTTTCTTTTAAAGTATATTCGCCTGGCAGCTGCTGGGTCTGTTTTGTAATGCTGTGCAAAGGAGCTTTTTGATTCAATTAGTTCATAAGTTAACTCCGGAGCTGGAGCACACAAGCAGCTGAGTGCAGTCCGTGGCTCATTCCGTTGCCCGGACGGCCACTCGAAATCAAATTCAACACAATCGAGCCAAGTCCTTTCAGCTAAACATCGCCTCAAAAAGCAAACTAATCAGCACTCGGAGCTGCACTTCACATTCAGCAGTCGGAGTGGCACTGGGTGATAGGAATTTGGTTTGTTTTCCTATTTGTTTGCAGCAGGCCATGGCTCGTTCGTCTAGCCCCAGTGCTATCTGTCGCTGTCGCTGTAGCTGTATCTGTTCTGCAGCTTGATTAGCAGACATTAATTTTTGTCAAATCTGTGCGGAACTAATTAGCCTGCTGCTTGTCAAATTGCAAGTCATACAAAGCGCCAATGAGACGAGGGGGCGTATGGCGGCTGATGGCTAACATCGACGCTCAGCTGGAGGCCAAGTGGCCACAAAGTCAACACAATGATGATACTGATAGCGCTGCTGCTGCTGATGATGATGGTGATGGTGATGGGGATGATGACTGGCACCTTGGTCTGTCTGCTGTTGTCGCCCCACTCTCGGCAGTCCGGCTGCTGGGCCAGCTCTACAGCTCTACAGCTATCCAGCTCTCCAGCTGAGCGCCTGTAATCCATATTGATGGATTGATTTCAATTTCCTGTTGGTCGATTTGGTCGGCCGACAGCGTGGGCGCTGATCAAAATGCTTTCGACTGTTTTTTCACAATTGCTTTTGTGAAGGATAACCGAAAAGTCAACATCGGCGGGGGAGTGGACTCGGACTGGTTCCGGTTTCCGGCCACAGCCACGGTCTGCAGTCGCTTCGCTTCAAATCTGACCTGACTTAGCATAATGATGAATGACATTTAATAGTTGGCTCAACGTTTTGCTAAACGTTACAAATCAATTTTCACTCTATCACTCTCTCGCTCGCCCCTCCCCTCCTTCTCCCTCTCTCTCTGCCCTTTGTGACTGACAATGACAAGACGATGATGAGCTGTGGCGTATTTGGACAGGCCAAGGAACGACTTCATCAGTCTTCTGTTTGCTGCACTGACACAAACAATTTACTTGCGGCCCTTCCTGTTGAGTTGTTGTAAAACTGATTACAGCGCCTTGATTGGCATTAGCTGCCAAGCCACAAGACCCCCAAGCCCCACGCCCCCAAGACCCACCTAGCCCAGTCAAGTCTAGCAGTCTGCTTAGTCCTCCAGTCCTAGCTGTCTTTTATACCCAGCAAACATTTAAATTGCCAACAGGGAAATGTGTTATTTTATGCCTTTTTGGCATAAGCTCCAAATCGATAAATATCGATTGTTCGATTGGCTGCATTCTTTCTAATTTGAAGCTATTTTAAAATGTTTGAATGAAACTACTAAACGCCTAGGGCTTTCACAAATCAAATTATTTCCTGTAATCGATAAATATCGATTTGCCAGCTATGCGACTAATATCGCATTTAAAGCAGAACAAAGTCAGCTTCTAAGCCAAACAGCAAATCTTCTGTAACTTGCCAATGCTGCTTGATAATGCACGCGGATAACACAAAACCGATAAATATCGATTCATAGCTAAATTCAAGTACCCGCTTCCCTTACCTTGTCTTGCTGTTTTGCCTCATTTTGTGGTATATAGAGTGCATTTGTAGCTGTTATCGATGCGCACTGAATCGATAACAGCTTGGCCACTGCAGGGTATCTTCGTGTCAGGCTGCCCTATTTGCTGGCGTCCGTGTGGCTGTCAGCAAAAATCATGCACTGTTTGGGTTTTTTGTACGTCAACCACAGCTAACCGCGCCCCTGCCACCACGCCACCTGCCACGCCTGCCTCGAGCAAACAAAATGTGACTGGTCACTGCTGGGAAAGTCATGTGTCAGTTTTTTGGCCTGGGCTTCGGATTTGGTTTCGGTTTTTGGTTGCGGGCTTCAAACTTGACGTCGATTATTAATAAAACGCCAGCGCTCAAAAGTATACTACCCCCCACCCACGCACGCGACTTGTGTGTGTGTGTGTGTGTGTGTGTGTGGGTGAGTGGTTGGCAGCCGCTAAAGCGCTTAGCTAGCTTTTTGCATGGACTTTTAATTAGTCTGAAATGCCTGGGCAATTAGTGCGACTTAGGCAAAACTCGAGCCTTTTTTTTTGCCAAATTGCCAGCAACAACAATGAACAACAACAGCAGCAGCAGCAGCAGCAGCAGCACTTTTTAAGTAGCTCAATGCGGCGACAACTTTTTGTGGTTAACTCTTTAGCAGCAAGCCGCTGGGCTGCGCTTCATTAGCAACAACAACAACAAGAACAACATAAACAATGCCATGACGACATTTTCGTCCTGCGACTTGGGTGTCGGCTCACAGCAAGCGCTGCTAATTGGTGGCAACTATGTCGCACCATTGCCGCAACCCTCTCGCAGCTTAACTGCGCAACTTCCGCCGGAATGATATTCATCTCTCGTAAAGACCAGCCGAGGCGAGCTCTGGCCCCTGCCACATGCTCTTTGCAAACTCTTTGCAATTGCTTTCGCATTGCCCGCGGGCGCAGCGGAAATCTAAAGTGAAAACCGTTTTAACAGCAGCAGCAGCAGCAGCAGCAGCAGCAGCCGAAGCTGGCAGCAATTGAAATTCCTTTTCAAATTTATTTGCCACACTCTCACACTGCTTGCCACGCCTCGCCCGCCCCCTGCTGTTGCAGACAAATAGCTGCAGGCGTTAGTTGACAATTGGCGCACTTTTTTCTTTCTTGCCGTCGTCTCGCTTACCCCGCCCCCCGCCCCACTCTCGCCCTCTGCTTGGCCGCTAATTTGCCAATGTTGTGGTGGGCGTGGGCGTGTGTGAAACTGGTTTAAGCCGCACATTTAGATATAATTCAAAAATTACAGAGCAGCGCAATTTGGTGCCGTGCCGCCCTCCCGCCTGGGCTGCCGCCTTTCAGCCAAGATAAACGTCTTAGTTGCCCTTTGTTGCAAATTTATGGTTGAGTTACATGTGAGACACAGGAGCGGCTTAGCCAAGGGCACCTTGGCCCAAAAGCTCGCCCATTTAAATTGTCCTCTCTCTACCAACCCTATAGAGAGAGAGAGGGAGAGATAGTCTTAGATTTTGTCTCTCATAACAGGATAACTTCACTTGAATATCAATTGCAGTTAGGCAACTTCTTAGACACCTCTTTGACTGAGCTTTCAGTGCTACAAGCTGAGCGCTTTCTTGCTGCAAATTTCATTTACAGCGCCCCGTTTTGGGCGCTCGACGCGCTAGTTGTGCGACTTTGTTGTTAAGTGGGTGGGCTCGTAACGCTGGCTAGATTAACACAAATTGATTTGCTATTAAATTAGGTATACACACAACAAACACACACCCAAGCACACACACACACAGGTGATGCGAAATACGTGGAAAAACAGTTAAGTGTAAAAGAAGACGCCTGCGGCGAAGTTGCTAACTCCTGTCTATGGGTGGTTCCGGCCTCAGTGGTTGCTGTGATAATGATACACACATGCCATCAGCTGCCTCCCTCTCCCCTCCCTCCCCCCCCCTCTCTCTCTCTCTCTCTGTGCTAGTAAATTGCCCAATTTGCGAACACGGCGCCTGGCGCTGGCAGCGTTGCTTTGATGTGTGAACAACAAAAAAATAAACGTAGGAAATGCACGGACGTAGTTTTTGGCAAAGGGCGTAGCAGTGTGGGGGGCGTCAGCTGGAGCTTACGGGGCAGTACGTCGAGGCCAGTGTAGACACTAAATTACACTAACGTGTTTTGAATTATTTTTCAATTTCATTGTCGGCCCAGACACAAACTGCCGGCTGTTTCCGCCTGCCATTGTTACATTTCAATTAAGGTTCCGGCTCTACGGCAATCCCCAGCCCGACTGCCCGACCGACCTCCCGCCCCTCATTCATATGCCGGCAGCGTCGTTTTATCATTTAACAGATATTCCTGCTAGCGAAAATATTATGCCAGTGCCTCGTCTATCCAAAAAGCCTAATGCAACGTGAACTGGAATAAAAAACAATGTCAAAAACGCGTAGCGCTCTGGGCCAATGCGTGCTCTGAAATTTCCGATTAGAATTCAGTTTTTCAATTTGCAATTTACATGCTTCAGTGCTCCAAAGAGTTGAGACGCTCTGTCCGAGCGACTCGCCTAAGCAATTTCTGTTCCAGCTAGAGCCTTAGCAAGGGTCTTGGAGCAGCCGCTAGGTAAGATCCCATGGATGGATCCAGCTCTGCTGCTTGGCTATTGAGTATTTCAGCTCTGGAAGACGATTATTGCATAGAAACTAGACCCATCTTAGCGGGCATGGCCACATCACTAGCTTTATTCCATCGGTATTCGATCTGCATCGAAGGGCCCAGCTCGCTGGGCATTGAACTTGCTCTGGCTTTGACAATTGGATGTTCTAATTTGTTTTGTGTTCTCGTACAACTGTTGTTACAGGCAGGCGCTGATGTCCAATCGAGGGTCCGACTCGGACAAATTGAATCCCACGCACGTGAGCAGCTCCCGAGCGCCGCTCCATTTGGGCCATGCCGGACGACCGCCACATCTGCATCCGGCGCACGCGGCCGCGCTGCTGGACAACCAGCAGGACGACGATGACAAGCTACTGGATGTGGTGGGGCCGCCGCAGAGTCCGCTGTTGCCCTTGAGCCACTCGCTCCAGCAAATGCACGCGCACCAGCACTCGGGTAAGCAACGCGACAGCATCAGTTCAGCTGATGTTGCCTGAGGCCGGACGACAGCGTGTCTAACTGAACAAATTTTCCGCTTTGCTCTTCTCGTTTCATGTTGCCGCTCTGTCTACTCGCTGGCTGCAGCTTTGGCCGCCTGGTTCAATCATTTGGCTGGCGCTGGCGCCGGCGAGCATGCGGCTGCGGCCAATGCGGAGGATGCACTGCGTCGCCGATTGCAGGCGGACGATGTGGAGCGCGATGGCAGCGATTCGAGCTGCTCGGAGAGCGTCGGCGGCAGCACCGGCGGTGCCTTTCGCCCCACCTCGACGGGCAGCCCCAAAGAGGGTGTGGGCGGTGGTGCAGCTGCTGCGGCGGCGGCGGCAGCGGCCGGTCTCAATGCGGCCGGCAGCTATCCGTCGCCGAATATCTCCGTGGGGCCACCCATACACCCGTCGCCGCATCTGTTGCCTTACCTCTATCCGCACGGCCTCTATCCGCCGCCGCACTTGGGACTGCTGCACAATCCGGCTGCGGCCGCTGCCATGAATCCGGCCGGACTGAATCCGGGCCTGCTGTTCAATGCGCAGCTCGCGCTGGCCGCCCAGCATCCGGCGCTGTTTGGCCACGCCTATGCGGCAGCTGGTCACACGCCCGTGTCGCCGCTGCAGGGCTTGAAGAGCCATCGCTTTTCGCCGTACAGCCTGCCGGGCAGCTTGGGCTCGGCCTTCGATGCGGTAACGCCCGGCTCGAATGCGAATCGCAGCGGCGGCAATGGCAGCGCCGATGCAGCTGCGCCGCCCAATCTTCTGCCCACTGCAGGAGGCGGCGGCGGCGGCGGCGGTGGTGGCGGCCTGGGCCTAGACAATGGGCCGCGCAGCTTGAGCTCCAGTCCGAGACCGCGCGCCTCTTCGCACTCGCCGCCCACGCGGCCCATATCAATGTCGCCAACGACGCCGCCGTCGCTGCTGAAGCGACAGTCGCAGCACTCGCCGTCGGAGCTGAAGAGCATGGAGAAGATGGTCAACGGGCTGGAGGTGCAGCACAATGGCAGCGCCGCAGCAGCAGCGGCGGCGGCAGCGGCAGCAGCAGCCGCAGCGGCTGCCTCGCTGCTATCGGAGGAGACATCACAGCTGCAGCATCATACGCAGGCGCACCACACACATCCGCACACACATCCGCACGGACATCCGCACGGGCTGACGCATGCGGCGCATCATGCGTCAGCGGGTACGGATCAGTGACAATTACAGGACGGCCGCTCCGACTGCGAGGAGGGCGGCCCGCACGAGCTGGACGACGACGAGGACGATGAGCACGATCGCAGCTCGGTGATCGATCTGGACGTCGATGTCTGACCGCAAACGGTGCAGCTGCAGCAGCTTTAGCGTGCAATGCCGATTGCCATCAGCAGCGTCGGCGTCGGCGGCGGCAGTTAGCCAACACTGCTAAACAGTGTAAATAGCGCCAGCGTTCTACATAGGCATTGTAGCATATAGCATATAGTCCACACCCTCACACTCTCACACACACACACACACACTAACACATATATACACGCACGTAATACCCTATAGAGCCTAGAGACGTTGCGGGTCGCTTTGCGCATAGTTATAGTAAGCCGATATATATCGGTTATATATATATAATACTTTTTTTTTTTTGGTATAATTAATGTAAGCAACGCCTGTTTGTGATGCGCAGGACCCGCCAGCTTTTAAAACCTAGTTTAAAGAGGGACACAAACAGTGAGCGAGACAGACAGAGAGGGAGAGAGAGAGGCGTATATATATATATATATACTAGATTTGTTTACTTTTTTTTCGTTTCCTTAAACGTTGCCCAGTGCTCTTGCAACTAGTTGCAGCTTAAACAAAAGGAAAGCCCCCAAGAACCCCCAGAACACACTTTTTAGCACTTAGGCATAATATATATAAATATATATATATATATATATATGAATATGTATATTTATGTATATATGTAACACTCACTCACTCACTCACACACACATACATATATATATATATTTACTATATAGCAAAGCAAACGCATGAAGAAAGAGACAAACACACAGAGAAACAGAGCGAGCGAAAGAGAGAGTTGAAAGCGCAGACAAATTTATATATATATAAAACATATACATATATATATGTATATATGTATATATGTATATATATATATCTATATACATATATTGACATATTGATATTGATTGAAGCAGCATCAAAGATGGCGCCCACACACCCACACACACACAAAATCTAAATACATGTAACCTTTAACAAAAAAAAAAAAAAACAAGAAAAGAAAAAAGCAAAAAAGCAACAAAAAAAAAATAACAAAAAACCAAGCGAAATGCGTAAATTTTTTTTCTTAGTCTTAGGATGAACAATTTTTTTTTAGTACTCGTAAATTGATTGAATTAAGCTAAAAAAAATAATAATAAAAAAAATAAAAAACTTAAAAAAAAATATAATAAAAATAAAATGAAAAATAAAAAAAAAATCTAAACAAAAATTTGCGTAAAGTGCGAAGAAAACTATAATTAAATTAATTTATGTAGCTCTTAAGTACCGTGTACCGTGTACCGTAACATCCATAGAAAGCAAATGCATAATTTATATTCAGTTGAAACAGTTAACGAGCGGTAACGCCCCCTGCCCAAGCCACAGGGTGCGCAGAGCTCCCTTGGCCGAAGTGGTTCCGCAGCTGCTTCCTTAACTTCTTCTTCTACGTCTTATTCTTATGGACACTTAGTAGCAGCAACTCACACACACACGCACACACACACACAGCCAGTTATAATTCCGCATATAGAACACTTTCATCCTACTATACCAATTTTTTTTTTTTTTTTTTAATTTTTTTTGCTAATTTTTAAGTTCTAGAACCAAAGAACAAACAACTTTTTTTTGTATAATTATAATTCTTTAGAACAGACTCGGAATAGCTACTTAGTATTATATTATTGTGTGTGTTTTATTTTAATACTATAATATATATATATATATATGTATGTATGTATGTATCGTATATATATATCGTATATATAAATCAATTTTTTTTTTATATTAAGCAATTTATTAAATGGCATTCAACGCATGTTCCTCGCATAAGTTTAGAGCGACAAGACGCAGCTAACACAGCCCCCAGCTCCCGCCCCCTGCCCAGCACACACTCACACACACACTTATCACTTATTCACCTGTCCACACACACGAGCAAAAAATATTCGAAAAGAAAAAAATTGAAAGCAAAAAAAAAAAAAAAAGAAAAATAAAATCAAAAATTGTAGCGCAGTTTGTTTGTCCTTATATACCGACACACACACACATATATATATATATATATATATATAATTGATATTTTTTTGGGTTTGTTTAGCTGTTTTTTGAATGAATTATACGCAAAAGCAATATTAATTATAGTTAATTAAATTTAAATGCAAACAAAAACACGGCAAGCGATAAAAACAAAAGAATGAAGAACAAGCATTACAAGCATATATAACTATATATATATATATATATATATATATATATATATTATATATGTATATTTATATATGAATAAATATAAATTTAACGATGAAGCAACAACACCTCATGTCACTGCAATTATATTAAAATTAATTAAACAACAACAAAAAACAAAGGAAATTAAATAAAAATTATTACTAAAAGACAAAAAACCAACAAACAAACAAAATAATAAAAAGTATAAAAAATAAAAGGAAAATACAAAAAAAACAACAACAACAACAACATACATGCAACAAGATAAACGTGTTTCATTGCCATCGCTATTAGTATTATTATTATCATTATCATTGTTCTCGTTCGATGGTTCGATGCGCGCACAAAGGATTTTCAGGATATATTAATATTTACAGAAATGAGCAAATGCATTGCTTGCACTATATTCATTTATAGGGACACAAATATATATATATATACATATTTACATTGATATTTATTGCGTATACGCAAATAAAGCGTTGCAGTCAGGCATTGTCTTAATTAAGCCTGGCAGCGCTGTGCTTCGCAGCTGACTGCATGCGCTGCCAGAGCTATGGATACATTTCTATTTACATTTTCAGTTGCTGTGGCAGTGCCAGTGCCAGTTGTGGACCCAAATATAACAGTAAATGCATTTCGGATACAAACGGGCGCTGATGCGTATGCCCAAATGTCAGCAGATTCGTTTATAGATATTAGATACATTTACAGCTAGTAGCAGATACAGATACATAAGCTACTCGTGTGGCAGTTATAGATACAAATATGACTGCAGCTGTAGATACATTTACCAATGGACAGCTTTGCCGCAGACTTTGCTATAGATACAGATACTTTTGCTGCTCGAATTTAAGATCACAGTTTAGCTACAGTTAAAGATACATTTACCTAAGAAGATGCAAATATCATTGCAGATGCAAATGCCTGTTGAGCAGATACAAATATGACTGCTGTTGTAGATACATTTACTTAAGAATGGAAACAGCATTGCAGCTGCAGATGCATGCGCAGCTAATTAAACGGATACAAATATGACTGCAGTTGTAGATACATTTATAGGACATGCATTGGTTATTAGTTGGATGCAAAGACAGCTAGACTAACAGATACAAATAATGTTGCAGTTGCAGATACATTTGCCAACGAGCTTACATTGATAAAGATACAGATACATTGTAGCATATGGCCACAGATGCAGATACATTTGATATTATGTATAAAGATACAAATGAATCTGGAGCGGCTACATTTTACAGGTGAATGTGGCCAAAGATACAGTTGCACATGCCTCGCATGGCTGCTGCAGCTACATTACTAATTAAGATACAAATACAAATTTAGATGCATTTTGTAGCAGCTACTCGAGAAGGACTTAGGCAAATATATTTGCTGCAGACATTCAGATACAATGCAGTTGCAGATGCAAATGCAAATATTGATGCAGCTGCAGACTATTGCTTACAGGTTGATTGCTTTTGATGATATTTCCGAAATTAGTTGAGAGCCCTCATCAATGGGCACTTGAGGCAATGCTACCTGCCCGGGTGCGCGAGGTGTAACATTTAATTCAATAATGGCTTAGTCGCTAATCTAAGATTGGGCGAGGGTGTTGTGGCCGATGCGGATTAAGCGCTTGCCAGCTAACCCTTAGCCGAGCGGCTAAGCCAAGCGTTAAGGCTTCGACTAACAGCCAAAGGCCCACTAATAGAATTTGGCACGAATGCCAACTTGACTAACTGTTGCGACTGTTGCGGATTAGCCCGGCCAGATACGAGGAGACGGAACGCGCGGCGCTGGCTAGACTAGATTACCATCATCGATAGAGCTAATTTCGGGTAATTGAATGAGCTGAGCCCGCATACAGCGGGCTAGACCCAGAAAGCTGTACAAATAGCTGGTTCCACATGACTGGCCGGGCATGAGGTTGTAAATTGTAACGCTTCAATAGGAGTTGCCGCAGTTTGAAGTGCAGCAATAAAAGGCGACCAAGAAGCGCCCCAACCCAGCCCGAACCCTAGCCTTTAGCCCGTAACCCGTTACCCGTTACCCGTTACCCTTTTAGTTTTATTTATTTCGTTCGCTCGCTTTCTTGAGCCCACGCACAGGCCATGGAAAACTGTCAATAAGTTTGAGTGTTTTGGCCCAAAAAGCCAAATGCTCAGCATAAATTACGTATTATTAATTGCTGCCGCTGTCGCTGCCGCCGTCACCAGTGCCACCAACGCCACCGCCGCAACTGCCGATGCGCGCTGAAGGGTTATGGCGATGTTGACAACACTTGCCCCGACCCCAGCCACAATCGCGCTCCACACCCAGGCCCAAGCCGAGGCCGAGCTGGCAATTTGCAGCATGATTAATGTGATTGTTTACCAAGCGGCGGGGGTAAGTTGCACGGCATATTTCAGCAGCTACAAGCCAACGAGTGAAACGTACCGAGCAACGAGTAGCAGGCCTAGTCCAGTTGGCAAGCGCCGCAGCGCTCTCTAAAGAAACTGCTATTTGACGAGCTAAGTGTGACGAGTAGACGAAGCCAGTTACGAGCAATTGCCAAACCTATAAAATATGCTAAAGTAGCGAGAGAGAGAGAGAGAGAAAGTCAGCTACATTTGAGTGTAGGTAGCTAGGCGTAAAAGTAGCGAGTGACATCAATAAATCAACGAGTTGATATGCAACGAGAGTACGTTACTGTCATATCAAAGACTGCCTGATGAGTAAAGCGTAGACTATAACTACTCGTCGCACTCAAATGTAACGAGTAAAAGCAGCGAGTA